GAGACAGACTCGTAAACAGGCATAATGACGTCATGGACAAACAGAGGGACATACGGGCAGAGAAGACTAAGCACAGGCAACCTAAACCAAACATAAGGGCAAGATAACAAAACCTAAACCAGACATAATCATCATCATCGTCATCAACATCATCATCAGATAACTAAAGAATCAGAATATAATTGTAATCAAAACAATATCACCAGAGAATAACCAATCCATAATGCAAAAATAAACCAAAACATAAGAAACTCAAAATGCTGGGTCGACCCGACCCAGGACCGTGACAGATACAGTGTACCGTCTCACATGTGAGAAAGGACTGCTCACACACTGGAGTCAGAGCCATTGACAATGACCTGGCAGGTGCGGTCAGGCATCAACAGGATAGAAGTGGTGGCGAAATGTCCTTCAGAGAGATCAAATGATAACTGGACTTTTGGAGAAGGGAATTCGATTAAAGTTAGGGCAATTTTACTGAAAGCACAAATGAAACAATGATAGAAGTGCTTGCAGTTTGGTGGCACTGGCCAGTCTAGCACCGCCTGCACTTTAGTGGGGTCTGGTTAGAGGCTGTCTTTTTCAACCATATATCAGAAAAAGGAACTGTGTCAACATGGAACTCACATTTTTCACTCTCACCGTCATATCTAATTTTTTTGTCAAAATAATGACTTGGAGAGAATAAGTATGAGTTATTACTGTAATTTTTCCATTGATCATAAGACTTGAAGAGTGGAATGCTTATGACAGAGGTGTTCAACTCCAGGGCTCAAGGGCTGGTGTCCTGCAGGTTTTAGATATCACCCTGGGTCAGCACACCTGAATCAAATGTTCATTACCAGGCCTCTGGAGAATTTCAGGACATGTCGAGGAGTTTAATTTAGTCATTTAAATCAGCTGTGTTGGATGAAGGCCACATCTAAAACCTGCAGGAGACTGGCCCTTGAGGCCTGGAGTTGGACACCCCTGGCTTATGAGTTTCACCCACCAGTACCCCTACCATTACTGGTGAGTGCGGCCCTTTTGGCCACACTCTGGTCCTCTAGTGTGATTTCCAATACCTTTATGAGCTGTCCTTATGTAATGACTGATGTGTCTACTCAGCTCTGTTGCTATGATGCCTGAGATGAGCTTCTATGTTGTGGAGAAACAGGTATTTGGCCAGTAGTTTGTAGGGCTCTTTTTATGATCAGGATTGTTCTGCCCTGTGTTAGCCGGTTTGGATTAGTACCTAGGAGGAGCCCTGTTATTTGTGCTATTTGTGAATTTCAGTTGTGGGTGGGTCTGCCCGTGTGCTATTTTTTCCTTGTAGTAGAGAGTACACCCTGGATGCATCTTAGCAGAACAGGTCATTCTCTTCTCTGATTTATCTCTTCAGCTTAGTTTCCAGAGCTGTGAGCCTTTGTTTGGCAGTTTCTAAATCCTCGGTTTTGAAAACACAATTTTACCTTATTTTCATCCAGGACTTCTCTTTCATGAAACCCTTTTGCATCGATTGATATCCTTCTGGGCTTCTCTGATTTTGGCTTTCAGCTGCCCTCTCTGTGGAGAAGCTTTCTCTACCTGGATCCTTAATCTTATACCCAAGTGCTTCTAGGATTTCTGTGTCAGTCGTTTCAGTGATACTGGTAGTATGAAAGGTGCAAAGAGCAGTTTTTTTTCTACAATAATCTGATCTGATGGAGCATTGTCAATGTTCCATCACTTCATCAGTTCAATGTTCTCTCATCCCAAACGGTCATGGCAGATGGCTGCCCCTCCCTGAGCCTGGTTCTGAAGGAGGTTTCTGCCTATTAAAAGGGAGTTTTTTCTTCTCACTGTTGCCCAAGTGCTTGCTCAAAGGGGTTCATATGATTGTTTTTCTGTTTGTCTCTGTATGTATTATTGTAGGGTCTACCTTTGATTTGATTTGATTTGATATACCTTTATTAGTCCCACAAGGGGAAATTTCATAAGGCTGCCGACCTATTGCACGCAATGGCGGCGCCATCTTACCCTCCGACCATACATA